GCTCCGGCGATCCTTCCGCCTCAGCCTTCCAAGTGGCTGGAACTGGCTATTTTTTTTTTTTTATTTATTGTAGAGATGAGGTCTCACCAAATTGCCCAGGCGGGTCTCGAACCTGCAGGCTCAGGCAATTCATTCACCTCGGCCTCCCAAAGCGCAGGATTGCAGGCTGAGCCACCAAGCCCGGCTGACCTCTGGTTTTAACAGTCAGAGAGAGATTATTGATTTCATCTACCATATATTGAATACATAGAGATGCAAGGGCAATTAAGATAAGAATAATAGCTGGTAGAGAAATGAGCTAAATCAGTTTATAAAATTTAATTGATAGCAAAATAAAAGTATTAACAAGCTTACTTCATTTTGTTTCAAGCTTCCATCTTAGTTGCCTGTCTGACCTAAGAATTACCCCTTAATGCCTATGTGTGATTACTATAACATTTCCATGACCACAGACCTCCAGTTTTGTCTCCTTTGGGCAGGTAGTGACCATTTCTTGCTGGCTGTTACAAAACTCCTTAGCCATAAGTTCCATGTAATTGTATGCTTTGTTAACTGAAATCAAATGTTATGCTTTTCAAAACCCCATTGCTACATTTTCATATTTTGTTCTTATATTTGGTTAGTGACCTAACCAAGATAATTCCATCATTTAATGATTCTTCTCCCTTGTGTTTATGTAGCTGCCTTAAACTATATCTTGTTGGCAGAACTCCAGGGACTCTTCAGTCACCAGCTATACCTGGGACATAAGATTAATCAAAACTCCCTAACAATCAAAAGTTCCCATTTTGGTTGCCAAGTTGTTAGTTAATGGTTGCTATGGTCACTAAGTTGCTATGCAGCCAACGTTGCAAATTTTACCTACAAAAGGTTGTCACAAACTGCACTAGTTTGTCAAGAGTTTTTCTGGTGTAAGCCTGCTCTTGACCCACACATTAATAAAGGACCCATAATTAATCAGACTCAGCATGCTGGTGTGACTTCTTCTCGCTTTCTTGGTCATAATAGTAGAATAGCTTACACTGCTTCTACTTTTGAGCATCTATAGGGCCTGTGTGAGTTAACTTAGTTGTTAGTATAAGGGAAATAATATAAAGAACTAATGAGCTAATTAAAAAGACAATTATTAGAGTATGGTCATGAAAATGTAGACGTTCTTCCATAATAGGTGATGTGGCATTGTGAAATCCTAATTGAAATGGGTATGCCATAAAGATATATAGGATTCTAACCTCTGAATTAATTTTGACAAAGTTATATCTTTACTAGTATCTTGTTAATTAGGAAAGTCATAATGGATATGAAATTGGCTTGAAACCAGTTTGAGGGTTCAGTTCTTTCCTTTCTTGTCTATGCTTTTACATAGGTCGGTTCTTCACATATGTGATATGGCAGAGAATAGCCATGGAATCACTCAAGGTTTATATTCGAGAGTTCAACTGCTAGAACTTCTCATTTTGAGACTAAGGCTTCCCAGACTATAAAGACTACAAGTATTACTACTGCTAGTGAGATAGATGAGACCATAGGTGAAATGATATTTTATGTAGTATATATGTCAGGAAAACCAGAATATGGTCGAGGTATTCCTGATAATCCAAGAAAATGTTGCAGAAAAAATGTCAAGTTACTTCCTACAAATGTAATTGATAAATGAATTTTAGCTCAGGTTGAGTGAAGTGTATAGCCTGAAAATAGGGGAATCAGTGGACAAAGCCTCCTATAATAGCGAAGACTGCTTTTATTGAGCATACATAATGGAAATGGGCTGCAATGTAGTATGTGTTATGAAGGGCAATATCAAGTAATAAATTAGCTAACACGATTCCTGTTAGATCTCTGACTGTAAATAGAAAAATGAAGCTTAGATCTCATAGCATGGTGAGTGATCATTTAATATTACCTCAAAGTAAAGTTGCTAATCAGCTAAATACTTTTACCTCTGCAAAGATATAGCAATGATGATAGTAGCTGATGTAAAATATGCTTGGGTATCTACATCTGTTCCTACTGTGAACATATGATGTGCTCATACAATGAAGCCTAGAAAACCAATGGACATTATGGCCCATAGTCCAGAATAGTAAGTTACGATATAAGAAATTATTTCAAAGCCTAGAATAATATAGATGTAAACTTCTGGATGACCAAAGAACCAGAATAAGTACTGATAGAGGATAGGGTCACCTCCTCCGACTGGGTCAAAAAAAGTTGTGTTGAGATAGTGATCTGTTAATAGTGTGGTAATTCCAGTGGCTAGGACTGGAAGGAATAGAAGAAGTAGGACAGCAGTAATGATTACAGATTACATGAATAAAGGGGTTTGCTATTGAGATATAGCTGGAAGTTTTATATTAATAAATATAGTAATAAAATTAATTGCTGAATCTGCGATATACCTGCTAGGTGAAGAGAAATGATGGCGAGGTGTACGGAAGCCCGTTTGAGTTAGTTTCCTGCCAGTGGCAGGGGAATGGGTGTGGTAAACAGTCCATCATGTACCTGCACCAGTTTTGACTATTGAGGAAGCAAGTAACAGCAAAAAGGAGGAATGAAGAAGTCAAAAGCTTATGCTATTTATACATGGAAATGTGATATTGGGTACTCCGATCATAAGGGGAACTAGTCAGTTGCTGAAGCCACCAATTGTGATAGACATTACTATGAAGAAAATTATAAGAAATACATGGGCAGTAACAATTACATTATAAATGTGTTGTTCTCCTAATAGGATCAATAGACTAAGGGCTGTTCTGACTATTCCAGGTCAGGGACTAAATAGTAGGTACAGCATGCCTATGTCTTTATGGTTTGTTGAGAATAATCAATAGTTGATGAATATAAGTAAGGAGATCAAATGGTAGAGCAAGCATTAGACTGTAAATCTAAAGACAGAGGGTAAGCCTTCTTTTTACCAAAAACCCCGAGATGATACATCATATTGAATTGCGAATTCAGAGAAGCAGCTTCAATTCTATCAGGTCTTCTCCTGCCTTTTTTCTCCTTGGCAGTTCAAGTAGATTGAAGACAGTTGACTAGGGTGTTAAACTGTTAAGTAAGTTTTCATGGGATTGGAGCCCACCAATCTAGTTCAAGAACAATAGATATAAAAATATGATTGCAACCACAGCTTTGATGTCAATATCAAAGAGAAACAAGTGACTGAGCTATGTAAAGACACAGAGGAAACATATACATATTGCTAAGTGAAAGAAATCAGTCTGAAAAAGCTATATACTATATGGTTACAACTATATGACATTCTGGAAAAGGCATGACTACAGACACATTAAATAAATCAGTGGTTGCGAAGGATTCAGGGGAAAGAGAGATGGATGGGTAAGTGGAACATGAGGTATTTTTAGGTCAGTAAAACTATTTTGTATGATCCTCTAATGGCAGATATTATGTATTTATCAGAACCCATGAACTGTATAATGCAGAGTGAGCCCTTATGTAACTGAGGACTTAATTTAATAATAACTATTGGTGTTACTTCATTGAGTATAACAAGTATATTAGACTGATGTAGGATGTTAATAATAGGAGAAACTGAAGGCTGTTTTCAGGAAGGAAATAATGTGGGAAACTCTGTACTTTCTCTGAAGTTCTTCTATGGATTTATTTTTTGCTTTTTTATTCTTTACTTGTGTGAGTTTTAGTGTATTCTGTATTGTTCATCTATTTATTTTATTAAAAAGTTTAAATATTAAAAAATTCACTTATGACTATTTTATCTTCAATATTTTCAATATTCTCAAGATTCTGCTTTGATTCTCTAGACCGTATCTCTAAATGTAAATAAACTTGTCATTGATTAGTAAGTCTTATGAAGGTCATGCTGTCTTGGTTTATGCATGTTTTGTTTGCTTCTCTTAGATTTTTCTCATCAGGCTGTAGAAATTTTGAGGTTAACAGTGGAATGTATAATTTTTGAAATATTTTATTATTACTAAGCAAGGTACCTAATTAATTTCCTGCATTTTTCTTTTAATTCTGATAACTTAATGTAGTAAATATTAATATCAGTGTCTTCATGAGGTATCTGAGGCTAAGTAAGATACCAGTGAATACTTAGCCAGTAAATGATAGAGCTAAGATGAAACCCAAATCTAACTTATTTCTACAACACTGTCATTGAGAATTAATCTTTATGGTCTGTCGTAGGTTCTGCCTGTCATTTTAACAGATCAATATGAAGTCATAGTTTTGCAGACAAGTTAGTAATAGCTCACTGTGTTTTCAAATGTTTTCTTCCTATCTTAATGCTTTGTCTTGCTCCTCATCCCAGTTAAGCTTCTCCACTTGAAGACACATCTTCAAATGTAAGGGGGTTCCCAAAATAAGTCAGACTATCTCCTGCAATGATACAGGCATCTGAGCCCATGTCTAAAATAATGTGAAATATCAGTCTTCAGTGTTCAATCTCATTCCTCAGTCAGTGTAATGGGTGATGTTGATATGTGAATCCTGTAATGTTTGTTGATCCTCTTCTCATTCTGTTTCCCACTGTAACATCATCTACTTCCTTCCTGTCTCACTTTTTATCTTAAACCTTGGGACCTGAGATATACTCTACAGAAGATATGGCTATGTCATTGACTTGCTGGCTCAGAAAACAAAACCAGATGCTGAATCCATTGCTCAGTGGAGATCTCTCAACAAACCCTGCTTTCGTTTTTCCTGAGGAGGGACCACACCAACAGGATTGCCTACAGATACTTGGAGTGAGACCAAGCCCTAATGAACCTGGACCTTTCTGATTAATTTCAGAGCTTATAAGTTACATTCAACATTCAGACCTTTCATGATGGAAGTATCATGTATTCCCCAGCACTGTCCCCTCCAAAACACTGTTAAAACACCAAACACATTCACATAAGACCCATAGGAATAGTTTATTGCATTCAGAAAAAAACAATCACAGTTTGAAGAAGCTCTAAGCAATAAGTACACAAAAGATGCCCCCATGGAATGTTCAGAAAGTTCCACAGCAGAGAAAGAATCCTATGGAGTTTATTACAGAGGCATGGCATGGTGATAATAAAACGATAGGAAATAAAGGGAAAACAGACACAGGAAAGGACAATAGGGAACCCAACTAGATGTTAAAGTGTGGAGAGATTGGGGAAGGCATCACCACTCGTGGGGTGGATAACAGGTTGGAGAATGTTGAAGATGGTTATTTTCACTGAGGTCAACAGTTGGAGTATTGCCAACTTTGTAAAGATATTCAAGCAGAAATTTCTTCAATGATCTCTAAGAAATGCCATCACCTGTAGCAGGACACACATAGTTACTAAATAATTGAAGATGCATATTTTGAGCTATTTTCTTCAAATTTCTTCCTCTTCTTTCTTAATCATTTAACTTTGTAAGTCTTTTAATATTCATCTGATCTTTCCAACTAGAGCTATATCTTATCTTACTCTCTAAGTGAGCATGAATAAGCAACCAAACCGAACTTTACCTTTTTTTTTTAGAGCTTCCTATAGCACTTTTCAGACTAGAGGAGCAAAAACAGGTATTAGCCTCTAAGATATTTTCATTTCATTCAATAAATCTACCCTTCCTCCAAAGGAAATAGGCCCTGGAAATATTTCTGAACTGATGGTCAGCCTCAGGAAACATAGGTCAGGAAGTGCCTAAGTCTTGAGGCTTATTTCCTAAATCACTGCACTTAGTATTCTAATGTGAAACAATGTCTTAAGTACTGGAGATGATTTTCAAGACTGAAGATGTGGTATAGGTGCACATCTATGGAGGAGGGTGAGAGACCCTGAAGTTTTGAGACACTCAGATGATGCTAATGTCTGCCTCATTCTAGCAAAGATAAATAAAGAGTTGTATCTATTTCTATCCTCTCTTTTAAAGGTATCACATGTCCTTTTCTATTTTGTTTTCCTGCCTCAGATACCTCTATATATGTCTTCCTCTAACCACACCTAACCTACCTCCACATGCCTCACAGAGGCCCACGACGTTCTGCACCATTGTTTTTGCGCAATCCCTTAATGATGAAGATGGTTCCAATAATTATGCCCACCAGACCCACAATCAGGCCCAGGGCACACACCACATTCTCAGTAGTCTCTGGGAAGGGGGTTGGTGCATCAAACTCTAGGGAAAAATAAGGCAGAGTACATGATAATGAATGCAGAAGGGAATAATGCTTGAAGTCAAATGTAGGGTACTTAGTAAAGAGAATAGTTTTTAGTGCAAGGTGTGACAGGTTTAAGAACCAACCTAGAAAAACTGCTGCATACCTCATTGCTGAATGTCATTATGATTACCTTCAAAGTACTCCCCTTGTAAGGCTATGCACTGATGTCTGTGCTTAGTCTACTCGCCAAAACAATTTTGGAACTCTTTTTCTGGAATGGCCATCAGAGCTGTCTTTGTTATTCATTGACGTCTGACTGTTAAGTTCACGAACTTGCTACTGTGCATTTATGTTAGCAGCACTGTACAAATATCTATTGGAACACCCTCCCTACTCACCTAATCTGGCCCCAAATGACTTTTTTCTTTACCCAAAGGTAAAGGAAATAATGAAAGGAAAATATGTGATGACATTCAGGACATCAAGGATAACATGATGAGGACTCTCATGGCCACTTTGAAGATGGCCGTAGTGATATTCAGCAATGAGGTATGCAGCACTTTTTCTAGGATGAGTTCATGATCTTAATTGTTGAACCTCGTAGATGAAAGGAGAGGGAGATAGAATGAGGTATTGAGGAAGTCGCAGATTAAATAGTGGAGGAAGCTGGGTATTGGGAGAAAACAGATAATACATGAATTGTAGCAGATGTTATGAGACAGGAAACTCTGGGTTCCAAAGTTCCAGACATAAGCATTATAGAAGGAAACCTAAAATACAAGAGATTGAGGATAATGCATACCCCAGTGCTTGAGATGAGGCTCATCCCAAGCCAAATGCTCCACCTTGCAGTCATAGAAGTCCTCAGTTGAGGGTAGGAAGGGGAGATAGTGGAACTTGCGGAAAAGGTGGTCTTCTCTGGGCAGGAAGACTGTCTCTGACACTCCGCTGGTGACAGGTTTTCCATTTCGAAGCCACGTGACATTGATCACCGGTGGGGAGAATTTATCGATGAAACAGATTAGGACATTGGGCTCTCCCAGTTCCACAGGACTACTCGTGAGCACAGTTACCTCTGGAGATACTAGGGGACATATGACAGAAATTAGCCTTCACTGATTAGGCTTGACCCTCTCCCTCCCACACTGAATTGTAGTACAAATCTATCTAAAGACTCTAAAGTTGAAAAAAACAGTTGAAATTGTGTCCTGAGAAATCTTCTCAGATAACTATCTCTGATACCTTCTCTCATGAACTGGAGACAATATTGAGATATGGAATATCCAAGGACCTCCTTTCTGCCTTCTCCAGCATGAACCCAGGGCAATGACTTTGTGAGTAACCATGGATGACAGAGACAAGACTTAGCACATCAATAAAGGAACAAACCCATAAAATTCTCAGACCTGTGGCATGAGAATTTTAGACTTGCTTATGGTAAGGTTAGACCTCTGGGAGGGAAAGGGGCCTCAATAAAATCTTGAATTTTTATTCACAATGATATAACACAAAGAAATGAAATGCTATTTTAAAGTCATGGATTTCCATGTCTAGGGGTGGGGGGAGACAGAGAGAGAGAAAGAGAGCGAGAGAGAGCGCGAGAGAGATACCATTGGTGTCTGGGGTGTGGTTGGAGCGCTGAATCATGATTTCCAAGTTGGCTTTATCCACGGCCATGTTGGCCAATGCACCCTGAGCTTCAAAGCTGGCAAATTGTCCAAATTCTTTAAGCCGCCAGATCGTCTCCTTCTTTTGCAAATCCACGTGGAAAATCTCATTGCCATCAAAGTCAAACATAAACTCGCCTTCTTTGTCAGGGGACAGATAGAACTCAGCCTGGATAATCACATGTTCCTCTGAAAATACAAGAAAGGGAGTTGGGGAGGCAGGTTTTAGGAGAGGGAAATTAATAATTCACATATATGAGGGCAGGAGGTGGTGGAGAGAAATTGGACAAAGTGGAATGGAGAAGTGATGAAGAGTAGGAATGAGTGACAAGATGAAGTCTGGGTAAAAAATGCTGTGCTGAACAGAGCTGAGGGGGAACAAACAAGAAGGAGGCATATTAGAGAGGGCAGAGTAAAGGAGATGGAGGCTGAAAAACCCAGTCTTGTGAAGCTGTGGTTTAGCTCCATGTTACTAGCTGAGAAATGATTTTCTTTTTAGAAATCCTGTAGCCGCTCCTAAAAGAGAAATGTTCTCTCATTCTCTTTACCCAGGCATTAAATATACTCAGGTCAGAATCTCAGACCATCTCTTTCTCAGAACTTTATACTCTAAGAAGAGAGAAACACTGTCTGAAAGGTTGGTTCTAAACTCTGGAATCAAATAAAATCTTGAATTCTTATTCAGCTACTTGCCAAGTGATCTTGAACAGATTATTCTATTTATGTGTAGTTTTCCTATTTAGTTCTGCTATAGTTTTGGTTCTGTCTTCTTTTAAAAAGATTAAATGAGGTAAGGTAAGTAATTTCCTAGTATGTCAACAGACTTGTAACAAGCACTATTCACATTTTAGGGTCAGAAACTGCTTTGTATTTAAGGAACAAACGCATAGAAAATATAACTGAGGCCCAAGGTGACCAGGAAATTAAAAAGTGAGACTATAGTATTGTAGAGCACCTACTCCCTGGATCCAAACCCACAGAGAAGATCATGTTTGGATTGACATTGGCAACTCCACTTTTTATCTTAATGCTCCTTAAATTGAGACTATTATTATGGGACATATTATATTATGACTGATATTCAGAATAGCCAACACCAAGGGAATAATCAACTTTCAAAAAAGGAAAGTTACAATTGGAGAATGTGTTGCCTCTATGGTGTGTGCATATGAGAGGGAGATTTTTTTTTTCTCCTTAGTCTTCAGAAATAAAGTGAGAGATTTTAATGTTTGTGTATTGATAAATCTAGGGACTTATTTAGCATTTACATCTACACACACACACAAACACACATACATTCTAGCCACTCCTTTCCAAACCAAGGAACAAGCCTCTATCTCTCCCGGTAAGTATCTCCACATGGGGCTCTATCCAGGCAGTAGAAACCTACAACTGCCACAGGGGAGCTGGGAACTGAGTATTTCTACCTGATAGCCTCCTGCCACCTCCTGTAGGGGTCACTCTGGATGAAGAATACTTTTTCACAATATATCTTTACAGGAACACAACAGTTTTCTCTGAAGATGGCAGAAAATAGTATAGACTCCCTGCTTCCTTATTCATTTTTCTACTCTCTTGAGAATATTACTAAGTTAACCGTGATCAAAAATCATGCAAGATCTATTATAGCATGGGGATTGGAATGGGTGGGCAGGAGATGGATATCACTGTCCTAAGAGGCAGTAAATTAAATGCAATTCATATCAACATGCCTGCCCTTTATTCCTTCTTGAGTACATTTTTGCTTTTTTTGTGACTTCAAATACAATGTCAGTGCTCAACATATGCTGACAATTCATATGCCAAAAATAACTACTATATCACGTTTTCAGCTAGCAATGCTAAGAATGTCTTATGTTTTTAAACTTAATTCTAACCAAATTATGTGCAGTTTTTAATTTTAAAAAATTTCCAGAAAGAAAAATTAAAGCAGAGCGATATAACTTGTTAATGCCTATCAGAAAAAATTCTCACCCTCCAAAGTTTGGCTTATCTCAAGTCAGTCATATTAATCAATATACAACTCAGTTTTATTCCTTTAAACTAAATTTGACTTACTTTAATTGGTGCCAAGTGAAAGACTCTTTCAAATGATAATTTATTATACTTTCTGTTTAGGCCTACATAATACCTGCCACACTTTTCTTTCACTACAAAGATTATTTTGCAAATGTCCAGTTCACTTTTCCAATGTTTCATAGTCTATTGTTTCCAGTTTTGACTCCCTCAGCACCTACCTTTGATAGCCCATGATTTCTGAGGGCTCATCAGGACAGCCATGAGGAAAAGTCTTAGCACAGGAACTCCACTTATGGCCATTTTCTTCTTGGATGCTTTGGTGGGGGTCAGCAGAGCTCAGGTGTGAGGCAGATCAGACTAGAATAAACGAAAAGAGAATTCGGGGTGTAATAGAGCCTGATGTAATTAAAATTCTAATCAGTCAGGCTTTAGCCAATCTGAAAAAAACTTTGAGATGACACATCTGTTGCTAGGGGAAAGGTTCTTGCAAAGGGCCCAGTTAATTAAAGAAAAGTTCTTCAGCAAACAGAACAACCACCACAAAGTTTTTGAGAATGTCGGCCAATCACTTACAAAATCTTTCATCCCAATTCAAGTTCTAGAAAGGGATATAACTGAAGCACATTACTGAGAATAGAATCAATGGAAAATCCTAAAGTGAGAGCTAATCATGCCTCTGTGCTGTGACAGTTGGGGATTTTATTCAAGAGACAACATATCATCTAAAGAGTAGGTAGACTGTTGGCTTGTGGAGAATGCTTGACTTTTGGCCATAATGAGTGACAGAACTTCATTTAAGAATCTGTTTATTACTTCATGCTTCTCCAGTGTCCTAGACTCCAATTTGACCAACTCAGCCTAAGAGCTTGGGATAGCTGGCATTGTGTTATATGTAGAGAATATCAGAGGAAAAATTCTAAGTTTCAAAACTCTCAAAGCTAGAGAAGGATGGAAAACTATACTTTGGAACATAGGTAGTGGTTGATGGGAACTGTGGGCTGTAAAAGGGTACTTTCTCCTAATGCCTACCATTTTAAATATGACCACATATTAAAGTTGACTGTTAGGAATACCCCTTATTTGAAGACTCAGGTCAAAGAATATGATAAAAGTATATTGGGCGAGATTAGTTTACCAGGATCACTAAGGATAATAATTTACAGGAGGGCTTTACTATTCCTTTCCTCAAGATTATGAAAGTTTTTCTCCACATAATTATTAAAATTCTGATCTATGCCTGAGCCCACAGGTTTGAGACCAGCTTGGGCAACTTGGCAAGACCACGGCTCTACAATAAATAAAAAGTTACCTGGGTGCGGTAGCACTCACCTGTAGTTCCAGCTACTTGGAAGGCTGAGGCGCAAGGATCGCTGGAGTCCAGCAGGTCGATGCTGGGGTGGCCTTGAGCATGCCACTGCACTCTAGCCTGGGTGACAAAATGAGACTCCAACTCAAAAACAAAATTCTGATCTAAAGAATGTGTGTTGATGTTTAATATAGAGAATACAGAAAGTTAAGAGGCTCTGACTCTAATGTTTCTGAAAATATTGTGCAATAGAAAGAAAAATGTTAAAACACACATAGAAAGGACTAGAATCCAAATAGTTCCAATAAACAGTGACTTGGCGGTGAGGGAGTCCATCAGATCATGAGTCCATTGTTCAATCTACTTAGGGTGGGTTTTGAGGGCAAATTATAAGGACAAATATCCTATATATTACTAATTATCTAATCATATGTAAGGGCTTGACATTAACTCTTAGATCACTAAGATGAAACCCATAGTATGGTTCTATCCTAAAATTTTTCAAGAATGCATTTCTTAGAGGCAGGAGAATGGGCCAGAGGAGAATCTACACTATCAACCTGTGCTTAGTGCCTGAACTTATGACTTAGGTTTATCATCTTTGCTGGCTGCCATAATGCCTTATTTTTAAAAGCTTCTTAATAAATATATGATAAATTTTAAAATGTTTTACCCATTGTAATAGCACCTTCAACCCAAGGTGTTGCTCAGCAACTTATGACACTGTTTAGTCCTAGAACACTGATTGGTTCTCCTCATGAGATTACTAAATTTGGGAGACTTGAAAAAAAAACTTTCAGTTCCCTTTCTCTACAATAGGAGAGAGGTTCCTATTTGTACACTACTCATGGTTCTCTATTCTCTCCAAACTGTAACTTCCTGTGTGACTGAGGGAATTTCTGAAGAGACCTGATTGAAGTCTGGTGACATTACATGATGAGGCACCACTATACCAGTTAGAATTCAGTCAGGAAACGGGAATCCCTGAAGAGACTATAAACAGAATTGACTCTATTGTAGGGGATTATTCCTTAAAACTGTTAGGAAGTCTAGAGGTGTACAAATCAGTGCAGATCTTTAACTCACATTTGTGAAACCTTGTGCCCACTGCGTGAGCCAGCTACAACCAACTTCCACCTCCCAAATCCCATAATATTAAATCTCACTGGAAAAATGTATGTCACATTCAGAAACCTGGGGGAAAAGGGAGCCTAGGAGATGTAATATTCTTGCTTCTATTCCCTAAGATGCAGACAGACCCATAGATGCAAATAGAAATTTATAAAAATGTGTGTGTGTGTGTGTGTGTGTGTGTGTGTGTGTGTGTGTATCTCCACAATAGCTCATTCTGGTTCTCCCCATGGTGCTAAGCATAAACCCAGAGGGTATATTCTTTTGAAGTAATAGTTCAACAGGTTAGGGCTTAGAAATGAGATAACTTTCACATGGGGCCCATATCAAGTTTGTGTGGTGTGAGTTCTGAGAATCTTCAGCCCCTTCTTTTAGTTTCCCTTCCATGGCTCTCTCTTTTTCTCTTGCACTCAGGGTCTTCATGGTGTTTCCTCCTACTGAGAACTTCCTTTTAGAGGTGCTGATTTAAGCATCTTTCTCAATTCACCATACAATAAGCTTTTCTTGTTCTGTGTTGTTATTCCATATCCTGAGAGGTGGCAGAAGTTAGTCCACTAAAATAAATTTGTAACAGAATGAAAGCTGCCGACTTCTGATATCAATAAATGTGCTAGGACAGTGAGTAAGTGGACCTTCTGGCATGTTCTGTGTGAATAAAGGGCTCCCAGATGATTGAGCTCATCTTTAGACTGAGAGGATGACAGTTTGAGATTTTGATTTATTTTCTGTTCACCTCTTCTTGAAACCTGATGCTTTAAAGAGCAGCATTCTCCTTACCTAGACCTCCAAGGGTGTGAAATTACCCCCTTTTACTTGAGTAGTCTTTTAGAGATTTTTTTAAAAATGCAGGTTTCTCTTTGTATCCACGTTTCAGGATATTTCCCTGACAACCAATCACAGATTTCATTGCTATAACTTGAGCATCTGTAGTTATATTGTTCTATAGTTCTTTTTGTCTGTTTTGAAAAGCACTAGCCGAATCTTATAATTGAGAAATTGTGAAAGATTGGTGATCAGTTTGAAAATCACCAAAGAAACCTAAGAATGGTTGTCTCTAACAGCTGCTCCCATATGGCCAATCAATGGCTTTATTCACTCACTCAGTACCTCCTGTTCCTTAGACATTCCAAAAAACATGTTTTCAGGGTTGCTCACACCTGTGTCATCTTGGCCATTCCAAAGCCAGTAGAAATAATTAGGATATAGGACATTCTGATGCAAAATTGTTCTCATCTTCTGAAAAAGTGCTATGCATCCTCTCTTAGTCACTCTCCCAAGAATAGGGAATTATCTTATCCAACCATTCAAGTAAGATGAAGTCCAGAAACTGCAAACTTAAAAATTACGTTCTATTAGATGAGGTCTAGATTGTGGAAACTTATCAAGGTCTGAATGATTTTATTTACTTACTTACTTATTTGCTTATTTTGAGTTGGAGTCTTACTCCGTCGCCCAGACTGGAGTGCAGTGGCACGGTCCCCGGCCACCACAGCCTCGACATGCTGGGCTCCGGTGATCCTTCCGCCTCAGCCTTCCGCGTAGCCTAGAACTACAGGTGCGCGCTACCACGCCCGGCTAATTTTTGATTTATTGTAGAGATGCAGTCTTGCCAAGTTGCCCGGGTGGGTCTCAAACCCTCGGGCTCAGGCAATCTACTATTCGCCTTGGCCTCCCAAAGTGCTGGGATTACAGGCTGAACCTCCGAGGCCAGCGTGAATGATTGTACAGAATTTAGATGTGTGTGTATGCATACGTCTGTGTGTGTATTTCAGTGTGTGTGTTGGGGAAAGAAAATTGGAGATGACTCTATTTCAAATCAATGTAATTATTATGATGTTTATTTTACACATTAATTTAAAAAATATGACTATCATTCTATATTCGAGGTATTGTTTTTCGTTTATTTTTTAGAACATTTGAAGTGTACAAATGTAATTGCTAGTGTTGGATAAGTACCAAGTTAAATTGTTAATCAAACTGAAATTCATTATGTCTGCTATTGCCCCTTTAAAGATTCTTGTTATAGATGCCTTTGCCCTACTATTGAGTAGGAATTATAGCATACCACTTGAATTATTTGCTAAATTTTAATTAACATACCATCCTATAGTTCCACTAAGTTGCAAAACATATCTTAGTTCAACAATTAGACTGTTTAGTACTATGTAATAATCAAAAGTCCCAACTTGACTTAAGATGGGTCTTTTTCTATTCCCTGTAGAAATTGTTGCAGGCAGGAGTGAGCTCAGTTCTCCCTCCTCCTTACATTCTAGATGGAGTTTTGAGGCTATGACCCATATGGGGTGGGCTTAGAAAGAGGAGGGAAGAGAAAAAGGCCAGAAATGTCTTACTAGAAATGAAATTTTTGTGTTCTCCAGGTTAGATGATATTCACAGCAAGATTTTCTCTTGTGTAAACTCTGTAGGCTTTTCAGATTCCTTTATGGCCCATGGCTAGTGTATAAGATATACTAAAATATCCTTTGTGCTCACAAACTCTGGGAGCGCAGGAAATTCCTAATGCACTCACCCTTTCCAGGATCTACCACTAACTAGTCCATCTGACCTGCCCTCTAGGCTTCTGGTGGAATCGGAAACTAATTCCATCATTCTCAATCACTCAACTTCCTGTCAGGCAGAGAAAATTCTTGGTCCCCCTAGACAACAGCTTCCCTAAATTCCAGGCAAGTAAGTTAGCCCCTATTTCTCATACATGATAAGGTAGAAGAGAAAATTCATAGTAAAGAGCAGATCTATTCAAGGATGTCATAAATCTGCTCCATCCCATACTCTCTGATCACCCTCTGTTCAGTAGAGACAATAACAGACATTTTTTTCTCATTATTTCATTCGCAAATTCTGCAAAAGTGGTGAAAAAACAGTCTCATGAATCCATAGATATCTATATTAATGGCCCTTTAGATGAAATTGAAAAAAGAGCATGAACATTTTTAAAAAGGCAACAAACATTATGT